AACTCGATATACGCACAGGTAAAAACAGAACCAATTCTTTTATAATATGGCGACAACAACTTGGGCGCTATAACATGTTTTATTTGATACTGACTACGTGGTTCTCACAATGCACAGTGAAGGAAAACAAAGGTCATTAGGATCCTTACACGCCACGATAAGTTGAGCAACGGAAATTTTGCAGCTAAATTGAAACTGCACACGTCATCTTATAGCCGGCCGTGCGTGCATAGAGATTTCGTTCACGATGGCTCAATAGGAATTAGATAGGACTAATGCGCGCGCTATGATATAACTATTTTTGTTTCACTAAGAAACCAAATAGTTGTTTTCTGAAAATTACGGCTGTTTTCGTCTCGGCATCTTGTCTCAAACTTTTGCATCAATATTTTCCCGTAGACGCAACTCTAATCTGATTCTCTCCCGCTGATTTCCGATTTTTCTTGGCTAATCACTACCAGCTCGCGATTTTCACTTGTGATGAAAGCTGCACTCCTTTTCGTTGGTATGCTTTTTGTCTAGCTTCCTAGAATCATAAACAGCTACACAGCAATTTTCTGGGCAACCAGGCTTTGATAGCATGCTTCAGGTCCATAAAACACAATTGCTATCAGTATAGCAAACTTCAATAATAAGCACAAAAACGATACTCCTTACCTTTAGTCGTTGTCTTTGGCAAGGTGGTCACTGTAGTTTGTACAGCCTTTTCTGAGAATGGAAAAATAACACGTTTTTCATGCAGAACTACCAAACATTTTTATTGTGCTGGTATTTTGTTCAGAGATCAAGGCTCGTTGCATTTTCTTAATTGAGGGATTCCCATTTCTCAAGAAAAAAGGCGGATGTTCTTCTTTATATTATGGGTGATGACTTCTGACCAGACAACCACTTTGAGCATGCCATATGAAAATTTTGATTAAATAAAAACGCAGTGAATTGATGCAAAATGGTAAGATTAGTTTGCAGAGTACACTAACATATATAGTAAAGTTTGTTGAAAACTGTGAATAGTTATCTTTTAAACTATTTTCAGTGGCTTCGCAGCGACAATGCTATTTGTTTCCTATAAGAAGTTCCATATGGAACCCTACGGACGATTTTATAAAATAGTCTTTTAAGATTTGAGGGAAAAACACCATGACTGCAATATCTAATAATAGAATCATACAATCTAAATTCCTTCGGACACAAAATCCTTTTACAAAGCAACAAGCTGAGGCACCACAAAAGCGTCAATCAGTTAGCAGGGAGTAGAAATATCAAGAAGCACGAGGGAAACTGCAAAACGTTATCTTTTATGTCATTTTCAGTTGCTCCACTCCAATGCTATATGTTTGCTAAAGATGTTCCACATATGGACCTTTTATAAAATTATCTCTTACNAAACGTTATCTTTTATGTCATTTTCAGTTGCTCCACTCCAATGCTATATGTTTGCTAAAGATGTTCCACATATGGACCTTTTATAAAATTATCTCTTACAATTTTATGAATGAGTGCTATGACTGCCTTATATTGCATTATCAGCTATAATGCGTTATTAGTCCTGTAAAGTAACTTATTCACCAAACAAAACAATACAACCTACCAACACGTAGCTGGACCGTGACAGTAACGTTTCCTAAAGAGTTTTCGGCAAAGCAGGTGTACCATCCACTATCATCTAACACAGTCTCACAAAACTGCAGAATGTTATTGATATTTATCATAGTGCTCGGAGAAGTTTCATTTCCATTGTACCAAGCTATGGTGGGATGAGGGTTTCCAAGTACTGGGCAAGGAATTAGAGCTAGATCTCCCTCAGACACATCTATAGTGTAACCTTCACCGGTGATCGTTGGGGGATCTGAAGAGACCAAACAAAGAGAAAACGCACAATAGGGCCTTTGATATCAGAACTGCAACTACTGTTGCCTAAAGTGCAATTTTGATGTCACAAACATGCTTGCAACTGGTGCAGATATTCTGTTGCTGTACGAGATCTCTGTTGTAAAATCTGACTGGAATATTTTGAGTTTTCCACCACAATTGCCATTGTCACACTAAACCTGTCTCAAAAAAGATAAAAAATGCTGGAGTAAAACGTGTGTTAGGGAGCCTTTGGATTGAGATGTTCTCCAAAGCTGACCAAATTTAAACGGGAATCAGTAGACAATATTCGTATTCTTGGTAGCGGACGGGAACTAGCTTGTAACTGAGGATTATACGTGGAGTCTTTTCAAAATTCTTATGACCTCAGTCTTTTTTAATGACGTTCTCCCGCATTAGCCTTCATGGCAAGCTAGTTTCAATCCAATACCGAGAATACGAATATTGCCTATTCGTTCTGAAGACCATTTCATTAGTACAGGTATAATAAGGTATTTGTTATATCAGATTAGTGGTCA